CACTTGAAATAAGACAATGCAATTGTGTTTTCTTATTTTAAGCGTAAATTGTCTTGTTCCATTGGCAAAATGTCTCTTTTACCTCCTCAATTTAAGAACAAATGCACTTATTTTAAGAAAAAGGGAATTATCTAGATTTAGATTTTTTTGTGAATCCCTGCAACACCTAAAGTATGATGGAGTCATGCTGCAGGATGTTAATAGAATCCTACCCAGAGGAATGAATGCTAAATTTAAATCAAAAGATGCTCTATCGTTGTCTGTGTCTGTGTGAAAACAGGATACAGCAGAATTTTGGTTTTTCTCATTTAAACTGATTTGTGTTTTCTGCTTGACTGTCCAAAACAAATGTCACATATATGTGAAAAAAGCTTTAACTCTGTCATCCTTTCTTTTATGACAATAACCTAACAATGTGACAGAAATATCTGGGCTATAAAGAGAGTAAGAGGAACTTGTTGATATTTTGGCATTGTGTCAAAAAAGGAGCACCAGTAACATAACCCCCCAATGCAGATTTCTTCTAATTAACACACAATACATCCAGAAAGTATTCAAGGTGCTGACATTTTACACATCTAGGTATGTTACAGCCTTATTCCAGATGGTGTTAAACCAATTTCATCCTCAAAAAGCTACATAGAATACCCTAATATGTTAATTGGGTAAACGCTGCCTATAGAAATGTTCTTTCTAAGCTCAAAATCAGGGTGGAGCAGGTTTTCCTTCAGGATTTCTCTTTACATTCCTGCATTAAAAAATCCCTATATCCTCACAATTTACCAGTTTCTAATTCTAAAAGAAGACAACAACAACAAAAAAACATCCCCATAGCATGATGCTGTCACCACCATGCTTTCACAATAGGGATGGTATTGTGCCTGTTTCTCCCATAGATAATGGTCTGGCATTCACAGCAAAGCATTCAGTCTTTAATCCTCTAAAGCTGATAATTTGTTTTCAGAGGTCAGAAAGTCCTTCAGCTGGCTTTTGGCAAACTTTATACTGACGACCATGTGCTTTTTATGAATGAGTTTGCAGCTGTCCCTCCGCTCTACCACACAGGCTTTATGGGATTGCTGCAGAGATGCTGGGCTTCTTTTCTGCTAGCAGGAGTCCTGGCTGTTCCAAACTTTTTCTATTTATACATAATTGAGGCCATGGTGCTTACTGCGACCTTCAAAGTAGCAGAATTTTTTTTTTTTTTTCTGTATCTTTCCCCAGATTTTGAGCCCCACGGCTGTCCTCTCTCTGATGTCTGCAGACAGTTCATTTGCCTTCATGCTTGGTGTTTGCTCTCTGCGATGATTTCCTATTCCTAGCCTTGTCCAATCAACTGAATTCACCATAGGTGGATTCCATCTAAGCCGAAGAAAAGACCTCAGCTTTAAGGTTCTGAATAAGGATTTAAATGTTACTTCTTGGTTTTCTGTTTGCAACAATTAAAAAAAATAAACTTTCCACATTGCCGCAGAGTAAAACAAAAAAGAATAACTGAACACCATTTAAAAAAAAGGACTTAAACATGACTAAATGTGGAAGTTCAGCGCTGTGAATACTTTCCAGATGACCTGTAGCTTCAATTTGATATCTGATCTGTGAAATCTGTTCACCGAACTGCAATAAATGAAATGGAAATAGGGAGGTAATGAATAAAGTGAAAGTAGAGAATCCAGCCAGTACAGAGTGGTGATGGGGTTGAAGCGCCCAGGCTTGGCACTGCTCAGAGAGAGAGAGAGAGAGAGGAACGAGGAGGAGAAGAAAAGGCTTGGGCACACACAGGGAGGGCTGGTGGAGAGACATCAGGAAGTAATAACGATTGGCCCAACCGAAACAGGCGCTAAGGTTACTCTCAGTCATGTTCTGCCACAGTTTCACCCAAAAGAAAACGGAAAGAAAAAGAAAGGGGAAAAATAATCCGGATGAGTGGTGCAGCGAGGAGCTGACGGATGTGGATCACTGAGGTCTAACCCTAATGATTCATGGTCAGACTCCACCGCTTGTATCAGCACTGAACGAGTTTGATGAATTGCTCACAATCTAACTCTTAACAGAACACCCAGCAGGGAGTCACTGTAGCTTTCTGGAGAATTGATTTGATCTTTTACCAGAAAACAAAATTCCACTTCCCTAATAAACCCCCCCACTTCACCACTTTGACTCCCATTCTTGAATACGCCTCAACCTCTCACCTACTTTCTCCCCCCGCACCCGGCTGTGGACGGGGTGGGGGTTACCAAGGGACCCCTCCCTCCTCTGTGATGCTGTGTCACTTCTCTTCCTATTCTAGGGCAAAGCGAAGCTGCGCTCCTCCTTGGAGGATTGATAATCTTCTCCAAAGCAGCAATCTATGCAAGCTAAAGCCGTTTACTTTCCACTTTACACCTGCTGAAGCAGCAAAGACGTCGTTGATCCCCTGGAGGGCTTTTATAAGGCAAACAAATGGAAAACAAACAGGTTGACATAAAAAATTACTGTGTGCAGCAAAGAGCACTTCCTGCACCCCCCCCCCCCCCCCTTTTTTTCCTCCCCTGTCTATTCCTCAACCCCCATCCGTCCCCTCTCACCAGCTTTCATCAGGGCTCAGACAAGGACCATTGTATTCCAGCCGTTTACTCCCCAAAGGCATGAGACAACAGAAATGACACTACAAAAATGCAGTCAGTCTGACCCGTTTCCTCTTTGCAAAAAAACATTTGAATAATCAAAAAATTCAACACTAGAGATCAGGTAGGACTTTGACACAAGTAAAGAAGAAATGTCAACAATCCCAGATGTTTCTAACGGGAGTTAACTGAATGTCAGTCAACGTGGTGTTAAAGGCCGCGCACAGAAAGCTGTGAAGCAGTGAGATGCAAGATCATAGGGAGGAAGCAGGTATGTAGCAGGAGGCCTGAGGCGGTCTGCATGTCCATGCACATGCTGACAAGCAGAAACAGCTTTTAAACATTGGGGAGAGACAAGTATTCTGCGCTGATTGCTGGCGGGAAAAATCCGAAACCGCAAACTGGCTTTATAAAAAAATAAAAATAAAAAACTTGGACTGAAGCCAGCAGTAGTGTAAAAAAGTAACGGTCAAAGGCTATTTTTGTTTGCTTTCTTTCAATAAAATCTTTAAAGCTTCAGATAGGACAGAACGTCTCAAGAACGGTTTGTTTTTAGAAGAATCGAGTTGAACAGGCGACTCGCCCGTGCAAAAATCTCAGCTCGACCTTAACCCTGCAAGAACACAGCTGCTTATTTACATTTCCATCCCTATATTAACATCTCCCTCCAACGCTTTCCACCAACAAGATGGGTCAAGAATCAGACCTTTAATCTGAGTGGATGTATTTATTAGACAAAAACCATAAATCTGTTTGTTTTCAGCAACATTGCTGCTGTCAAAATTTTAACACATATTTAGATCAATCAAAAATGTAAGAAATCTTGATTGATAATCCAAAACTTGCCATTTTATCACATTTACTTAGTTAGGGTCGATTTCAAAAAGCAGGCTTAATAAAAACTCTTAAGTTTTCTAAACCTGAAATCAGGGAAACTCTTGAGGTTTCACAAAGAGAGATTATTCATCCTCCATTTCTGTTGCCATGGTAACATTCTCCCCAGCCCTGATGTGGTTGGGAGCAGGTTTTGTTCAGTAAACTTAGAGTGCTCTCCATCTCCGCTCTCCTTAAAGTTAATCACATTGTTTTATTTCCTG